TTGAGCGCTTCGCATCTGTGGTGACCGCCGCTGGTTTCTTGCCCAGTGACCATGATCCCGCGCTGTTTGTTCACACGTCTCCTCGTGGTCGGACTCTTCTCCTTCTCTATGTTGATGACATGATCATCACTGGTGATGACACTGATTACATTGCCTTTGTTAAGGCTCACCTTCGCGACCAGTTTCTTATGACTGATCTTGGTCCACTTCGCTACTTTTTTGGGATTGAGATCTCCTCGACCTCTGATGGCTCCTACATCTCCCAAGAAAAATATATTCAGGATCTTCTTGCTCGCGCTGCTCTCGGTGACGATCGCACGGTTTTGACTCCTATGGAGCTCAACGTTCAGCTTCGTGCCACCGATGGTGACCCTCTTCCTAATCCCACTCGCTATCGTCATCTTGTTGGCAGTCTTGTCTATCTTGCTGTTACGCGTCCTGACATCTCCTATCCTACCCACATCCTGAGTCAGTTTGTTTCAGCCCCCACCTCTGTCCACTATAGTCATCTCCTCCGTGTTCTACGATATCTTCGTGGCACGATCTCTTAGCGCCTTTTCTTTCCCCGCTCCAGCTCTCTTGAGCTCCAGGCCTATTCTGATGCTACCTGGGCTAGTGATCCCTCTGATCGACGCTCGCTGTCTGCTTATTGTGTCTTTCTTGGTGGCTCTCTTATTGCCTGGAAGACAAAGAAACAGACTGCAGTTTCTCGCTCGAGTACAGAGGCTGAGTTGCGAGCCATGGCGATGTTGACGGCTGAGCTGATCTGGTTACGGTGGTTACTTGAGGATTTTGGTGTGTCTACTACTACCTCGACTCCCTTACTGTCAGACAGTACTGACGCTATCAGTATTACGCGTGACCCAGTGAAGCATGAGCTCACCAAGCACATCGGTGTGGATGCCCACTTTGTGTGTGCTGCTGTGCAGGATCAGACTCTCGCTCTTCACTATGTGCCCTCTGAGTTACAGTTGGCGGACTTCTTCACCAAGGCACAGACTCGAACGCAGCACGGCTTTTTCCTCTCCAAACTCAGTGTTGTTGATCCACCATGAGTTTGAGGGGGGGTGTTAGATGTGTATAGTTCCTTTTTGGTATATCCCCATTGTATAAGGGTTTTTTTGCACTTTGACACACATGTATATGTAATGGCCTTTGGCCCTCGGGAAATACTAGTTGCTCACTTATCCAACACTATGATGCTCCTAGCTAAACGTGCAAAACCCAGCAACTAAAACCTTGCTCACTTATCCAACACTATGATGCTCCTAGCTAAACGTGCAAAACCCTGCAACTAAAACCTTCAGCGGTTTCCGTCCCTTCCAAACCTGCAAAACTCAAATCAAAACATGAAAGGGGCATGTCACCATACTCGATAGGCACAAGAAAAAATGGTCCGCACAAAGTAGCATCAAATTATCTCAGCGAGGTCAGACGGATAGGATAATGGGGTGCCCTGACCCCCGGGAGCTACCACACCTTTTCGTATATGAAAATGATTAACTTTGTATGTACTTCCTCCGTTCCGAATTACTTGTCTTGGATTTGTCTAGATACGGATGTATCTAGACTCATTTTAGTGCTAGATACCTCCGTATCTAGACAAATCCAAGACAAGTAATTCGGAACGAAGGGAGTAAAGCAGAATCCAGTACCACATCATATTAGCACAGGAACCTACTACAGGAAAGGTACGCGTATTGGCTTTGTTGCATCTCGTGATGCAAGGGCCCAGGGACATCCTCCTTTTTGGAAAAAAAGGGGAAGAAAATATATGCAAATGCAATCTGGGGGAAGACATTCCACCGGTACTGCAATCATATACATGGTCAACTATGAACACACAAGCGGCACCTATCATAGGAGAGCAGGTCCCTTCTAACTTGAGGATACTAGCCGCAACAGGTTATCACTTATCAAATATACTAACGTGCAGATTGTCCATATCGATGACCTTCTCGGCCTCCTCAACGGTACTCATAGTGACAAACCCATAACCACAGCTCTTGCCTGTTTCCTTGTCATAAATGATCTGCACAAACACAACGGAAACGGTGTTTTAGAACAAAGACAACACATACCTGTCCTAATAATTGTATTGTCTAACTACCTCCCAAGTAGCAACAACACTGACGAAACAGATATTGCAGAGCGCATGAATAGCCTGGAAGAGGTGAGGAAACAATGCATTCAGTCTTGATAAGAAACGTATTTCAAGTTTTCAACTACTGCACGCCGGACAAATTTAGTATAATGAGTTAATGACCAATCCAAATGGCTAGCCATGACTCCGAAAAGAGCCTGTAGCCAACAGCAACTCCACACAACACAATCAACAATCAAAATAGGATCATACAACTACCAACTGCAACCTAAACATATCACACAAGCTCACATGGCAGCCATAAGGGAAAGTCCAAAAGTATGTGATGTTGTTACAATAATTGCAGGTCTATTTCTTAGTGTGCATACTGTGAGCGAGCTGCAGATGAATCAGGAATTTGAGGCATTATTTTCACAAATGAATGACAGACAAGGACAATGAAGAGCTAATTAATAAGGCTCACCTCCGACAACACGATGATTCCAGCCAACCCAAAGAGCAGAGCAAGGTCCTTACTGCCAATGTCATAGGGTAGGTTGAGGTTCCCAATGCACACCGTGGCCTCATCGTCCGGCTAAGTACGCCTCAGGTGTGTACTGCTCGTAATATTCTTGTTGCCTCAGCGAACCACATTCTGGTGTCCGAACGACATTGACTGGAACGCTTGCCTCAGTGTTTTCCACTATTTTTCAATGTCAGTGGCATGGCAGTGATCATCATTCAAGAGGTCTTTTACCCAATACTTGCATGGAGCTGACGCATCGCATACAAAAATAGTAGCACTGCACTTGGAAAAACAACAAAGTAATACCATTATAAAAGCTCTGTTGTCGTAATCATATTGCCAACAGACAGACAGCATCAGGGCCAGGGAGTAAAATTGTTGTCACTTACCATGCTACAATGCTGGACGTGAGGAGTAGCGCTGAAGGGCAATTCAAAACATAAATGGCGGGAGAGAGGGAAGTCCTTCCATGCTATCTGCAGAAGCATACCATCTAACTATAATGTTCAACTGACGCCGATAAAGGAATGCTACTGCGAGTAAATTGCAATTGTATAATTTATTAATTTCTGTAAAAAACGTCTGCTTCCCAAGCGAATTTGTTTAGTAGATCAATTGTATTCAAGGTGCTTTGCCTGTTGTTTCCTAAATATGTTTCCTTTCTTACCGGATTGCTTTCTGTTGGGTTGATTTCTTGAGTAGAACAAACAAGGAGTAGATGTGTGTTATTTTTTGCTGCTGGGGAAGCATGGTTCCCTAAATTTTATTTGACTCTTCTACTACCAGAGCTCTGTTATTTTTTCCATGCGATTTGAAAAAAATAATGAATTGAGCTATGCATCTTTTGTAATATATCTTCATTTGATGTACTAGTTTCCAGAAGTTGAATCAAAATTGCTTGATTTTGACGTGTATTAGATGTTGGTTGGCTATCTAGTTCTCTGTCTGTCATTATGTATATATTAGGCCCTGCCTACTCGTCGCACAAAGCTTGGCAGAAGTTCACTTGTGACTGGACTGCATCTGAGACTGCGCTAGAATTGCTAGAACACGTAGGAGATTGCGTTCAGAATTGAAACCATCATAAGATTCATAACTATCAGCGCAACACTAAACTGGCAATATTTTGCGTTCAGAATTCAGATATCTGAGAGGACCAAGTAGCCACATACACAGCCAAATACGCATCCAATATTTTGCAACCAGAATTTAACCGAGCACCGATGCTGCATACTTAGAACCTAGTAATATTCATAAGTATGGAAGAAATTTCAGAGGTTCGGGTACATCGACTCTGAAACATTCTCAAGGAGGATTGCCCTGCCTTTTCTCCCTCCAATAAAAATGGGTTCGTATTTTTTCAGGGAATCATGTAACACTCTTTCAGGTGCACCCTTTCTAGCTGGGAATGAACAAGCTATATAGTCTTGTAGAGGTCATTTTTTGAGTAAAACGTACCAGTTGAAGGGAATGATGACTACTCCTGGACTTAATTTCTTTCTCTGCGACACTGAACTGAAGGCCCTGAATTTCAAGGTGGAGACTAACTGCATGCTGCTCTCTCTGAATCACAAACTCCTGCTTTCCCAATAAGGGCATGATGTACCAGCCAGATGAGCTCACTCAACACACCGAAAATTTACAAGAGAAAATCTTCACGAAGAACAAGACGTCATAAGAAAGGAATCAGGAAACTCATAAAGACCTCACTCTGATTATAGTGCGTTGCACAAATGATCAATATATGTTAATCAACCAACCAGAGCACGCAGCCTTCCATGGAAAACCACCTAATTCTACACGGAATAAAATCATCATTCAAATTGTACCATTTTCTTTTCTTTTCTTTAAATGTGTTAAAGAAATGATTCCTGTAAAACGAACATAGATCCCTGGCTACACAGCAGACACAAGGTTGCAAATCATGACTGGCTATTTCAATTTAAATAGTGATATTAATGATTTGCTGACAAAGTTGAATAACTTTCATGCAACGAAATAAAACTATATACTACATGCTTCTAGACAGAAAACACAACTGTTTTTTCATTAAAGCAAGCGGTGCATACAATGATATATTAGCTGCAGCCTGCAGAGCTACCAGCTTACATAGGACATGAAACAGGAGAGAAACAACCAGTGCCAACTAAACATAACACATACCAGAGCTACCAGCTTACATAGGAGACGGAACAGGAGAGAAACAACCAGTACCAACTAAACATAACCACATACGTACTATAGTAACATTCATGCACCTTGCACATCAGCAAGTTTGGATTTCAAACTTAGGCTTAAGCACCACCTCCATGATCCTGGTTTGCTTCAAAGTTGGTAACAAAGCATTCGATTTCAAACTTAGGCTTAAGCACCACATTCATGAAAGGTCATCTAGAACATATGTATCAAGCGTCCACCGGGCTTATCAAAGGGATCAGCCATTGAAAAATCATGGGTACGGTCATGGTGTTTCAAAATAGTTTCTTCATCCATCTTTAGTCCAATTTGTGCATCTCGAGAAGCTCTATTCTCCACTTGTAGCTCTCTACCTTGACGGCGCAAGCATCTGTCCTTGCGGTGGCTGAATACTCCGATTTCCACTTCCTCTAGCACTTTTGCATTCAAAATAAAGAACCTGGCAAAGTCAATTACTGGCCTCGTGTAACCATTGTAATTCCTCAACACAACTGTTCTCAGATGGACTTCAAGACATTCCATTGGATCAAGTGGGTCATACTCCTGCACATTATTAACATAATTTCCTCGATGTGGCTGCGAATAGAAAAAAGAAACCCCAATATAAAGGCAGATGTTAAGAAATTAGGAACAAAAATACTAGTTCACTAGAACATAAGTCTGATCCACTGCTGAGTTTGTCATTAGGTATGAATACTCACAAATATATACAGCTTCTGCAAGCAAGGGAAGCACTTGAGGAAGTCAACAACCGAATCAAGATTAGGACCGATAGAGTCGAGAACCAAAATCTTCACCGTGTGCATTTTGGATGTCAAGCTGACAGCAACCATTTTCTGGAGAAGATAAAAAGTGTGACAATGAGAATAATTCGAGTTAATTGCAAAAAACCACCACATTTGCGGCTTCTTCTGCAGAAAACCACCTGGTCCCTAATCCTTTGCAAAAAGCATCGCACATTCGGTAAACTTTTTGCAAAAAGCACTGATCAGGTGATTTATCCCAATTAATCACATTCTGACAAATGGGGCCGGCTTGTAAGGAGCTGGCTTAGCAAAAAAATTACACACATGCCCTGCATTCCAAAAGCAGAAAAGCAATCCAGTCCTTGTTCCTAGTTGGTTGTCGTCAGATGGCGCACACGGACGAGCAGATGAGGACGGCTGTTGCATGCTGAGTGTCTGGCTGCCCGCGGTTGGTGCTGCTCGCTGCCGCAGCTGCTGCTGCTCACCGCCGCTCCCTGCCGTCGCGGGTGCAAGCGGTTGTTGCTGCTTGCCTCCGCAGCTCCCCACCGCTGCTGCTGCTCGCTAGGGACGAGCCAGGTGCGCGGCCAGCTGCTGCCGTGGCCAAGGATGAGGAGAGCAGGCCGCAGTGGGCAGCGAGAGGGACCGCTCGCCCGTCGGCGGAGCTCCGGCAGCGCAGCGGCAGGGCCGGGTGGAGC